TATATATTTTATAATATTCACATATTTTACTTATGACATCTTTAAAGACTCCATTTCCACACAATGTCATATTCACAGTTACCAGGAGTTAGGACTTCAGCATAGCTTTTCTGGGGACACAATTCAATCCACAACTCCAAGAGGTCTCTGGAATAGTGTGAATTCTGTAATTGTTGCTCTCTATCATGTAGATAGTCCTGCCTTCCTCATATGCCTCACTGCCTTTGAAGGGTCTCCTTTTCTAGTAAGAAGCTTGAAATGGATGCTTTTACCTAAAATTAAGGCAGAAGGCATTGTTCTTAGATAAATTGACTAAAGACTCTTAAATTGATCAAAAGTGGCAAAATAAAAGATGGGTTGAAGAATCAAGACACTCTTAAAGCATTCTTGTGTATATGGTTTGTGGTAAATGTGGTGGATATAATAGGACTTTTAGGCAAATGGATCATTAGCTGGTGATTGGGCCAAATGGATGTTTGTCAGGCATGGGAGAGACAGAGTCTGAGTGCTCTCTCCCCCTAGCAGTACCTGGGGCAGCCCCCTCCTCCTTCAGTGAGTTTGGTTTTGGTGCAAGAGTGTGGCTTTGCCGAATATGGACGTGGATTCAAATATCTGCATCATCATTTACTAGCTTTGCTAGCTGTGTGACCTGAGGCAGGTCACCTGGCCTCTTTGAATGTCCTCATTTGAAATACGGGGATGTTGGGCAATCTACTTCCATAGTGATACTGCCTCTGAAACTTAAGGAGGGGTTGCTACGAGTTGGAAAAACGATTTGATGGCAGTGAGTTTGGTTTTTTTGGAATGATGTGCACAGTGCTTTGGTAGTGCAGATGGTTAACATACTCAGCCACTAACCAATAGGTTGGAGGTTTGCGTTCACCCGAGAGGTACCTTAGAAGAAAGGCCTGGTGATCTTCTTCTGAAAGATCAGCCATTGACAACTCTGTGGAGCACAGTCCTGCTGACACACATGGGGTCACCATGAGTTGGAGTCCACTCAACGGCAACTAGTTAATAGTATGCACCTTGCAGGACTTTTGTGGCGCTTAAATGAGGTAAATGTCTGTTCTGGTTACCTAGTGCTGCTCTGACAAGAATATACCACAAATGGGATGATCTTAACAAACAGGAGTTTATCCTGTTACAATTTGGAGGCTTTGAGTCCAAGTTGAAAGTGCCAAGCTCTAGGGGCTGGGTGAAAGCCCCTCAACCTTGAGGTCCAGCTCTGCCTCCTGCTCCTGGCCCACTGGAGCTAGAGGTATTTCTTCACTCAGACAGCTGCTGGCTGCTGAGGCTGCCAAGCCCAAGGATGACAAATAAAAAGGCACAGTTCTGATGTTACCAAACCACATGGCAGGCCATTAATTTAAGTCCATTGTAAGTCCCAAGGTCTGCCGAGCATGACAGGCTGCTAAATAATGATATGGCTACATGCACGGTCCAAACATTCCATAAACTAGAGACCATTCTCAAAGATGCTTCTTATATATGGGAAGCAGACCACTTGCCCAAAGCAGCTACTCAGCTGCTTGTGGTAGATCCCACCATGGAATTGATTGCCAGTCTCATCATGGGGAATAACCAGCTGCCCAGCCTCTCAACCAGGCCCAGCCAAGTTGTCACACAAACATAACCACCACAATGTTGACAGATAATAGGTGCTTAATAAATGGAGCTGTTAATAGATACCACAAGCATCAGTTAAGGGAAGCCACTATATCTGCTGCTGTAAAGGAAAAAGACCCTTCCTCCCATCCATTTCAATGCCAGATAGCCCAGATTTGGGTTAGGCCACTATTTTCGATTATCCGGGTAGACCACAGTGATAAATTTGGGAAGCCGTCCTGGAGGAGGGGAGTTTGAGGCCAGGTAAGGAAAGTGGAAGAGATATGAGTGAGGAGCAAGGGGAAAGGGGGTCCAAGGTGGAAAGGCTCCTAGAGGGATGGCGTGAAGACTCCGGACTGGTTCTGTGTCTGGGTGAGCATATTTTTTAGGGGTTCCGGGCCCTGAGGCAGGCTCAGCAGGGTGAGATCCAGCAGCTCAGAGCCCTGCCTGTCTTTGTCCCCAGGACTGTGCCAGGGGTACAGCTAATTGTGTGGTGTTCAGCTGCCCGCTCTACAGCTTTGACCGCGCGGCTGTGCTGCACGTCTGGGGCCGCCTCTGGAACAGCACCTTCCTGGAGGTGAGGGCTCCGCTGGGACCTCAGACTGGGCTTCCTCTTCCATAACTGTCCCCTGGGACTCACTTCTGTCCTCCAGCTCCTCTCTGTCCAAATGCAGCACATCCTTAACCTAAGCGAGGTAGAAACACCCTCTGTATTGGACACCATCTCACTTACAATTTCAGGAGCTGGATGGAAGAGGGGCATCATGGGAACATTTAGGAGGAGGGTCTTCTTCCTTGCTCTCTTAGGAGTACTCAGCTGTGAAATCCCTGGAAGTGATTGTTCGAGCCAACATCACGGTGAAGTCCTCCATCAAGAACTTGCTGCTCAGAGATGCCTCCACAGTGGTGAGCTGCAGGGCTGGGGGAGTGGGGGCTTTTCTTTCTCTTGCTCCCACCTGCTCTTGTTCCACTAACCCCTTAATCCTAGATTCCAGTGATGGTATATTTGGATCCGGTGGCTGTGGTGGCAGAAGGAGTCCCCTGGTGGGTCATCCTCCTGGCTGTACTGGCTGGGCTGTTGGTGCTGGCACTGCTGGTGCTACTTATGTGGAAGGTGAGGCTTGGGGAGGATGATCAGTGGGGGTTGGGCTTCCCTGTCAGCAGGTGGCTTTGTGTACTGTGGTTCTCTCACCCACCCACTCACTCGTTTATTCAGCAAATAGTATTGAGTACTTATCCTTCTATGTACCAAGAACTCTATGTGGCCCTAGAAGTTTCAAAGATAAGTCAGACGCAGATCTTGTCCTCAGGGATTTTATGGTCTAGTAGGGGAGGTCAGCTCTGTAGTCAAGGACAAGGCAAACCCAAAACTCATTACCATCAAGTTGATTCCAGCTCACAGTGACCCCCATTGGGATTTCGAGGCGGGACATCTTTATGGAAGTAGATTGCCCTGTCTTCCTTCTGCAAAGTGGCTGGTGAGTTTGAACCACCAACCTTCTGGTTAGCAGTCAAATGCCTTAGGCACTGTGCCACTGGAGCTCCTTAAGGACAAGACAGAAAGTGCTAAGAGTTGAGAAAGTATATTGGCAGTTCAGAGGATGGAAGGATTGAGAGGATTTGCCCTGGAGCTGGACCTTAGAAGAAGATGGGGTGGTAAGATTTCGATTTGTAGAGATGGGGTTGGTGGGGTCTGAGCCTTCCAGAAGGACCATGGTAGGCAGAGTCATGGAAATAGGTAAGTGTGGTCTGATTTAACTTTATTGTGGCAGGTAGAGTGGAAAGGAAACTGAGGCAAATAAGGCCAGTAAGTGTGGAGAACTGCCTCCAAGTGTGAACTTAGAACCAACACATACCGGACTCTACATGGAACCATTCTTGTACATACAGAGCTGCATGTAGAATCACATTTGTGTCTGGGGTGCAACATAAAAACTCATACATATACATAGCATTACAGAGAATCACATATGTCACTAGGGCTTGTACCTAGAACCACATGCCACATCTGGGTCTGTATGTGGAACCATGAATGTCCTTGGAGTCATACAGGGACACCCCCCCCAACACCTAGTCCATGGGACCCTTCACAGATGAACTTTGGCAAATGTGAGTCATCAGTGTACCAGGTGTCTGGAGTACCCAAATTGTTGGGAACCTGAACAGTTTAGGGGAGATTAATGCCTTCATGAAACTGACTCTAGGATCTCTGCTCCCTGCTCCCATGGAAGATGGACACAGATAAGGGCCCCATCTTTCTTCAGTCTTCCCATCCTCTGCCTCTTTTGTCCCCCTTCCCCCTCAACATCCCAGTGTGGTTTCTTCCATCGAAGCAGCCAAAGCTCGTCTTTTCCCACCAACTATCATCGGGCCCATCTGGCTGTACAGCCCTCGGCCGTGGAAGTCGGGGGTCCAGGGACTGTGGGGTAACTGCTGTGTGTATGCACATGTGTGTGCGTGCAAATATGTGTGTGCATGTGTGGGTATGTATGTATGTGAGTATAAGTAGAGCTCCTAGCATTCAGGGGTCATGAATGTACAAGGTGAAGAAATGAGCTTGCATGAGGATGATGTGAGTCCCAAGAACTGAGGTGGGAAGTAACGAATAAGGGGGGAGGTTATAAGGGTGAGTATACACAGGTTTGGGCATGCACAAAGGGTTGGGTGGGCCCATGGAGTGTGAGCATGTGGGCGTGTGGGGAGGTACCATGCATGTCTTTCCTATGGGCATGAGTGTGCAGAGACGATTATGCAAGGAGATGCTGTGCAGGAGTATGAGCACGTCTTGGCAGTCCTGAGTGTGAGTATGCAAGGGCCACATTTTCACCTTAGCATGTAAGAGCCAGCATGTTCATAACTTAGGGAGGGGCTAGAGTACTATGTTCATGGATGAATGGGCCCTGTCCTAAGGGGGATGCTGCCTACTGTACAAGTATACAGGGTATGTATGTGTGAGGCTTTAAAGGAGTCAGTCCAGAGGATGCAGGAGTCTAGAAAGCTATTTTCTTCATATATCTTTTGTGTTCTGAAGGGTACTACTGGGTCTCCTAAAAGCTTGAGTGAGTGGCAACCTTTGGGGTTGGAGATCCTGCTGTTATACCTTCAATTCCCTATTTCTGGGGCCAAGGGAGATGTCTTTGGTCCTGTACCTTGGGCCTCCCTTCTGGTCTCTGAATGTGAATGAGAACCAGGGATCCAGCACTGATGGTGGGGGCTGCTTACTCACTAGATATTGTCTACTTGACCTCTTTCTGCTGCGGTTAGTTCTTTGTGTGCCAGGGATGGTGAGGGCAAGGAGCTGTGCTGTGCTGGGCGTCTGCTCCAGGGGCCTCAGCCCTGTTGGCCCTTCATGGTCTGGCCTGATGTCCTTACAGATGGGATTCTTCAAGCGGGCGCGGTACCCCAAGGCCACAGTGCCCCAGTACCACGCGGTGAAGATCCCACGGGAAGACCGGCAGCAGTTTAAGGAGGAGAAGACGGGCACCATCCTGAGGAACAACTGGGGCAGCCCCCGGCGGGAGGGTCCTGATGCACACCCCATCCTGGCTGCAGATGGGCACCCTGAGCTGGGCCCCGAAGGGCATCCTGTGCCAGCCACTGCCTAGCTTCCTCTGTCCCAGCCTGGCCTGTGGGTCTCTTCTACTCCTTCCCTAGAGATGGCTCCTTGGGATGAGAAGGGTACAGTGGGTTGCTGGTGTCACATCAGGATTTGGTAGGATCTGCTTCCTCAGGCCTGTGGACCTCTCCCCACCCCCACTAGGATCACCCCCACACTTTCCCTGTGAAATGCTGTGCTACAAGAGGGGGTAAATCGGGGATGGGGCTGTGGGATGGGGTGAGAAGGCAAGGATGTTTTGACTTAAAGGTGCAGAGAAGGGATCATAACCCTTCTCTTTCCCATTCACCTGGCATAACAGAGCCCCAAGAACCTGTCTCCCCTAAAGTGCCTTAGCTTAGAAGGCCAGGGAGGAGGATGCATCGCTGACTCAGGGGATCCTCCCTTCATATTTCCCCTCTCCTGTGACCTTAGTTTGCTTCATCAGTCTAATGGGTTTTATCTATTTAATAGAAAAAACATTTGGAGACAAAAACTTTTGGCTGATTTACTGAGTCTTTCTCTCTCATCCCAGGGTCTCCAGGAGAGGCCTGATTTTTCCATATCCCTATAACTCAGACATGGGTGCTAGTGGGAAGGACGGGTCTGGTAGTCTGGCAGGGATGCACATACCAAAACTTTTGGGGCCAGTTCCTAGAGGCACGTGGATGTGAAGGCTGACGGAGGGGAGGGGGACTTTACCATGGGAGTAAGGGAAAGGGATGGGAGCTGGCAGGTGTGCAAGAGTTGGGAGATGCAGTCCAGAAATTGACAGTTAAGGATATGACAAGGTACAGATGTGAGTGCTCTCTCTCTCTAGACAGGATAGAAATAAAGAGTTTTTCACTGTGGAAGGAAGAGTTGAATTTAGAAATTCCCACTGGCAGAGGTGAGAGAGAAGAATTAGGGAGTGGTAATGTCAATGGCTTCCTTCTGTTTATATCCGCTCAATAAAAGAGACTTGGTCCATGGGTGGGATTGTTCTGACTGGGGTCAGGAGAGGGAGCAAGTGACTGTCTTGGGGGTTTAGGGAAGGGTTATTTCACAGCCTTTCCCATGATGTGAGGCCCAACGGGTAACCACTTGATGGGAGGAGGTTGTCGCTCCATTTGGAGTTCTCTGAACTGGGCGCTCTCCAGATCCTTCCACGTCTCTCGGGTGAGGCAACAACCATCCCCAATGTGTTTCCAAGTGGGTTCAAAAACTTGCTGCCACATGAAGGCCCAGCTTCCACGTGGCTCAGCCACATGCTCCCAGAAAAAGAACACTCCTCCCTGGGAGGGAGGAGAGAGTTAGTGTCACCTATCTGCTCTAGTCCACTCCTTTCCTCCAACCCACGTCCACCGCACTGACCAAGCATGGTCAAGCCCCTTGGTGAAGTGGAAGTTGTTGGCCTGAGAGTTTATGGAGCAGAGTCTCCTGCTGCTGACTTTCTGCAACCCGGGCTCCTGCCCTCCCATCCAAAATCCTCGTAGAGAGCATCACATGACTGAATGGGGATTATTGGTGAGATCTCTAAGGATCTGCCTCAAAGACAGGAATGACAACATAGGTGAGGGCAGACCAATGGGGAGCTGGAAAAACAGAAGTACATATTTCTGTATACAGAGATGCATGCCTTGACCTCTGTCCCAAGACTTAGATGCATGGATCCAACAGCTTCCTGGGCATCTCGGGAAACATACCAGTGAGCTTCCCAGGGAAATCTTGGACCCTACTCCTGACTCAAGCTGGATTTCCTTAAGCTCCTCTCTCCTTGACAGATTCTCCCCAGGTGACCTCATCCACTCCCAGGCTCTGAATTCACCAGCTACAAGCTGGTGACTTCCAAACCTTATCTCTAGAGGACATCTTTTCTTGAGTTCTAACTGCCTAAATACATATTTGGCTTTTCTGCTTAGGTGTCTCAGAGGTAGCATCTGGGTGGTGCAAATGATTAAGCACCCCACTGCTAACCAAAAGTTTGGCAGATCAAATCCACCCAGAGGTACTGTGGTGACTCAATAGCAACTTTTTTTTTTGGTTGCAGTGGCACCTCAGACCTAACAAATCTAAAATGTTTTTCTCCCCAGCCTTCCCCATCTCAGCAAATAACATTCTGACCCAGTGCCTCTCCCAATTGTTTATGCTAGCAACTTAGAAACCATCCTGAACTCTTTTTTTTTTCTATTCTCAGTTCAAAATCTTTTGTGTTCTGCTTCCCCTAATATCTCCACCTAGAACTCTCTTACTTTCCCCAATTCCTTTAATTACTCACCCCCCCCCTTAGTCCCTGAGATCTCAATGTAAACATCACTTCCTTCAGGAGGCTTCCTTGATCCCCTTTCCTGCTCCTCACTGAAGTAGGTGACACTCTTATGTGCTTTCACAGCACCCTCTTCTGCCTCCCTGGTCCTATTTCCTATTCATCAGCAGATGCCGGTGGAATGGAGTGTCTAGTGTACTGAAACATGAAACTCCCCATCCTGGGTCCCCTGAAGGACCCTGGGTAGCACACGTGGTTTACAAATGGCTGCTAACCTAAAGGTTGGCAGTTCAAGCTCACCCAGGTTCTCTGCAGAAGAATGGCCTGATGAACTCTTTGCCTAAAGATTACAGCTAAGAAAACCCCATGGAGCAGTTTTATTCTGCTACAACACATGGGGGCTTCATGAGTTTTGCTTTTGGTTTTAGTTGGGTAACCTGAGGAGTCCCTAGGGGAAGCAAGCAGCTAACAAGGGTTAGTGGTTTGAGTTCACCCAGAAGCACCTTGAAAGAAAGGCCTGGTGATCTTTTGAAAAATCAGCCATTGAAAATCCTATGGAACACAGTTCTTTGATACACATCAGTCCAAATCAACTCCACAACAACTGGCTCTTGGGTACCCTGAACACTGGAGCCTGATGCCATCTTTGCTTGCCCCATGCCAATACCCTTCCCATCTGCTCACCGGCCTCAGCACTCTCTGGACCTCCTGTAGAACTTTCTTTGGGCTCTTCACAGAGCACAGCACCAGGGTACAGACCACCACATCCATGGAGCCATCAGCCAGTTGTCTCATGTCCTCTCCAGAAGCCACCACAAACTGCTCATATTTGAGGTGCTTGTTCTCAGCCATGTTTTTTGTCAGAAACTTCTCAAAATTAGGGTTTGGGTCCAGGCAGGTGATCCTGCAGCCTGGTGGGTAGAACTGGAAATTGGCTCCTGTACCACAGCCCAGCTCCAGCAGGGCCACCTTCCCAGAGACCCCTGCAAGTCCCTTAATCTGGCCAAAGAGCTCCCGCTTCTTGCTCTCCATTTTGCGGTTGGTCTTGACAGTCAGCACGGCCATCAGGTAAGGGAAGTAGGTTTTGCACAGGGGCTGCCAGCAGCCTAGTAATGCCAAGAGGTGCAGGGGCAGGGTTAGGAGCAGCACCAGCAGCTGCAGGAGCCGGACAAGGGCATCCATGGCAGACTAGCTCTGAGTGGTGCTTCTGTGGGCACTGGCTTTTTCTTTCTGCCTAGCCTTTGCAGAGTCCCCATCCCCCTCCACCGTATGATAGGACTTTGTCCCCTGACTCCTGTCGGTGATTTCCTCTTCATCAGGGTGGAGTGGGTGTCTGGAATTCCTCCAGGGGGCGCAGGTCCCATAGGTCCACAGGCTCTTCAACCTGTTTTATGTGGGTGAAGGGACAGGTGGTCCCAATGCGTTCTGAATTCTGGAGCACTCTGCCTAAAGCTGAAGAGGATGGGGTGTGCTGGAGAGGGAGGCAGGAAGGAGAAAAGGGGATATGTCTCAGACCATGTCAGCCAAATGCTGGGGGCAGAGCTGACTCATGGGGCATCTCCTGGCCTCATTCTGTAACCAGGCTTTGCTCAGGTTGTGCAAGCTGGAAACTGGCTGGGTTTCTCAGGCATAGCCTCAGGGATCTGTAAACTGTAATAGGCCTTTGACCCAGAAGGAGACCAAACAGAGTATTCAGAGTAGGGCCTGATTGGTCACAAGGAGGGAGGTTACTGGTTGAAAGAAAGGGATTTTCTCAACTGGCTAGGTTTTATTTTTAAATCAAAGTCTTAGGGTCTTAGAAATAAAGCAAAGAAGAGAGAAACAGGCAGAGTGCAGAAGAATCAGGATACATGGGTTCTAATCTTTGTTCTGCCATTAACTTGCTGTGTTCTTTGAGGCAAGTCCTTTTACCTTACCTTGTGGGCTTCAATTTCATATCTGTAAAATGAGGAGATGAGAGATTGGAGGGGCCTAGCACAATTTCTCTTGCTCCCATATTTATGCTCTAAGGAAAGTGGGGTAAGCAGCAGGCAGCAGGTGTCCCTAGGTACCCTCAACAAGGGTACCTGAGTCCCAGCCCATGTCAGTACTCTGGAGGCTTTAGGAACAGGCCAGTGGTGGCCATTGAAGCAAAGGTCAGAGTTTTGGGTCATAGTTATCTGTGGTAGTTAAGGTTATGTGTCAACTTGGCTGGGCCTGGTTGAGTGGCTGGGCAGCTGGTGGTAGTTATTCCCCATGATGAGACTGGCAATCAGCTCCATAGTGGGATCTGCCACAAGCAGCTGAGTAGCTGCTTTAGGGGTATGGTCTGCTTCCTGTACATTAGAAGCAGTTTTGGGAATTGTCTCTAGCTTTTTGGCACACTTGGATCCGGCATGTAGCCCAGTCGTCATTCAGCAGCGTGCCATGCTCTGCCGATCTTGGGACTTTTAATAGACTTAAATCAATGGCCTGCCGTGTGATTTGGTAATATTGGGACTGTGCCTTTTTACTAGTTGACATTGTGTTTGTCAGCCTCAACATCCAGCAGCAGTCTGACTGAAGAAAGCCTCCAGCTTCAGTGGGTAGGGAGCAGGAAGCAGAGCTGAAGCCTAAGCTTAAGGG